GGGGGGGGAGGGGGGGGGGGGGTAGAAAGTTTCAAAAATAATTGAGAATAAGCATAAGAAAATCAAAATAATTTGAGAAAGAAAAACCATAATTCATTTTGTCAAACCAAGTTCATGATAAACATTTTATGTGAGTGATTCATGTCATCATCAAATGCGTTGTGTAAAATTTTCCTTGGAAGCGTAATTTATAAAATCTTATCTTGAGCTCATTTCATGAAAAATCTTACAATGTAAGCAATTCATGCTATGTTGGCATGCTTTGTGTGAAATTCCTAAACTTTTGTCAACATTTAATATGCTTTAATTTGCAAATGATATAACAGAGTCTCACACAAAACAATAACTAAATCACAACCACACAAGCGCACCACATCAAGCTTGAAGATTAGGATTCACAAAATTAAAAAAAAGAAAATTTCATCAAGTATGGTTGACCCGTCCGTGATGCTTTCCAACATGTGCTACAAGTCAAGAACCACTCACCTTCCATACAAGAATGGCCGACCTCTTCCACTTTGTATGCGAAACATGTGATCAAAATTAAATCCAACTGCTTTATAAACTAGCTTGGTCAATCAGTCCAAGGAACATAAAGGATTGCAATCAAGAGGAGCCACTCTAACCCATGAGGAATTTCTATATATTTTTATTTTGGAGGTAAATCTTGAATGATCAACTAATGAAACTTTATTTTTCCTGATTGATATCATGAAATTGTAGCAGTGGCTTGGTTACTCTTGGAAATATTTGGTGAATTCTTTAGTTATCCATTGTATTTTTAGGAATTACCTCCCTCTCTCTCAATCTCCCTTTAGCTGAACTCTCCAATACCTCCACAAATCCAAGACCTCCTTTTTTGGAGCTCTTGGGCCAACTCCACCGGAACTAACACTAAGCCCTACAACCTCCCTCAAAGAACCCTACAAAACCTACTACTTCCTTAGCAACCCCTTCTCTCACTCCCCTTCCCTATGTAACCCAATCTTTCCTTTTATATAACCTCTTGACCAAACCCTATTCCACACCTAACACCCAAGCCTCTTCAAAAAAAGCTGCCCCAAGATATTCACAATCCATACCCTTGGTCTCACCTCCACATAAGGCCTAAACCTATCAAATTTGAATCAACCCTAGAAGTTTCACCAATCCTCCACTAAAGATCATGCCCACCAGCACCATCGTATTGGTATCAGAGCAACAAATTCCAAGGCTGCTTTCTAAGGCGTCTAAAGATTCTAGAACATAATAAGCATGGGTGATCACACCTTCAACAAGAATTGCAATAGCCAAGGATACCTACTCCACAAACAGACATCTATAGATATGGGTTTTAATCCCCGAAGTGAGTAACATCAGAATTTGATTTGGTTTTAAATTCCACATATTGGTAGTTTATCTTTTACAAAAAAAGGTTTAGTAATAACAAATGTTGATAAGCAATTCTATCCACAATTGCATGACTTCAAAATAGAAAAACACCACATAAAACCTACATTGTCCTAGCCTTGAAACCTATCATACTCACGAAATCCTATGATAGTGAATGTGTATCCATTTTCAAAACAGCATTAAAAATTTGTATAATTGTGGTTTAAAATCACAAGAACCTGATTTATTCTGTCTTATTGCTCATTTTGATTCACAACTGTACAAATATTTGCCTACGTCATTAAAATTTATTGCTAGACAACTGCTTTAAGGCCTCAACTTATTTTTTTTCATACAAAACATTCATCAATTCATCAGGCTCCTGACTACGTTAAGCATCGTTTAGAGAAAAGTGATCACTTGCACCATATTCTATGATAATATCATGCCTCCAAAATTTGTGCCACTAGATCAATTCAAATACATTTGGGAAATTGTAGAAGATTAGCTAACTACAATTGGAAACTTAACAATAAGAAATAATGATAAATTTTAATATCCAAAAACATGGAGGACATGAAGAATCAATTTCAACTCTTAAAAATTATAAATTAAGCCCCACTTGCTACACACGTGCATTAAAACTTACGTTCTTGCTATTGATACTAATAGTGATGAAAATATTGAAAGAAGACTACTAGTGCAAAGACACCAACCTAAAACTGATTATTTAATACCCAAAAATATCAAACAATAATATTAAAAATTCATCCAAAATTTTATACCCCATTTTTTGTACATCTTAAAAATGACCAAAATTATTTTATAAAATTCTACATTTTATTCCGATCCTTTCGATATATATAAGTATATATACATATATAAGTATTGTTGCCTTCATAAAATTTATTTAATAATTTAATTATATTAATATCTTTAATAATATATTCATCTTATGATAATTTTAATGTTTACCAAACTATTGTCCTATAGCAATTTGGCAATTCCACTTTAACCGACATGCCAAACACAAAAATAACAATAAAAAAATCCTAAAACCAACTCTTCTCTTCCTCACTCTCTCCCTCTAGACCAAACCGCACTTGCCCCCTCTCCTAGACCATCACACAAGATCTCTCCCTCTCCTCTCGCTCTCCATTTCCCTCTTACCTCTCAGTCGAACACACACGACGACGCTCGCCTCTTCCGACACAGCACTGTCTAGTCAGCCGCCATCTCTAATCTCCAACTGCCACTGCTGTCGAGCCCTCTTCACCTCTTTTCCTTCAACCTCTAGCCATAATTTTTTACATGTACATTACGTGTACTGAAAAAAGACGTAGATTAGTTATTAATGGTGATATTATTATGAATGTCATTTCCATTCATACACTCACTAAGACTAACCATAAGCTTGAGTCACATCCTAATCTCTTACTACTAGATGGGTTAACAACACCCTATTGCCTATAACTACTGCATGCTTAATTCCCATCGAGTTTGATAGTTATAAAGATAAGATATAATGTGAGGTCCTACCCATGGACATTAATAATATTCTCTTATGCATCATAGTTCTATGACATATATGTAATACACTATGATTGAGATAACAACTATATTTTCAAACAGGACGAGAAGACCATAAGCTATTGGAAAAATATCCCAAATCTATAAGATATGCCAAGCCAAACGAAAACTGTAAAACTGTAACTCATTGTGATTGGTAGCTGCCTTTGACATCCCATCTGCCAAGTCTACCTTGCCCATCTTCTAACTATAGGATTCACACTGAATAGATTTGATTTATAGGAATTAAAAAAAAAAAAGATTTTTCTGATAACGTTTCAAAATAATAGTTGAAAATTTTTATTGAGTTCTTATCTTTTTCCACTTAAATATTTAAACTAACTAAAGGATTTTGCACCCTTCTAAAACAATTGTTTCAGGTAATCCATGCATTTAACTACTTTATTAATATATAATTTTTTTATATGTTGATGATACGCATCATCAATTTTATAACATAGAATGAAATAAGACATTTCAGCTACAAAGATGGGATTACGTTTATATATTTCGGCGTATACAATAGTTATTATTATGATAAAATTGCTTTGACATGCCGACATCTAAAAGGTTTCAATTTATGCGCATTTAAAATAAAGGAGTAAGTGGAATTTGGAACATGTCCAATACCTTTGGTATCATCTACCGTAACTAATGATGGATGTAGCATCACTGCAGCTTTAATCTCATCGGCCTTGGCTAGTTCTGCAACTACCTTAGCTGCACCATGCATCAAGCTCACCATTAGTAAGTTCAAGCAACTATCCGAAAAAGTGGGTTGTATAAACAAACAAAAATCGATAGATATTCAATGACAAAGGTACAAAGGAAATGTTAAAGCTAGGCCTATGTAGGTTTGATCTTCAACATAATATAAGATCAAATTTTATCAGATTAGACATCAATAAAATGAGTTTTTATGTTGGTTACTGGTTTTAAGAATATGAAATCTAGGCTAAAAAGTTGTTGGATTAGTTAAATCATTTTTAGGTTGGATATTTCTTAATATATTTATGGTTGATGAAATCACATTTTTTTAATATCATATATTGAAAAGTTTTAATGATCACAACTGTCCATCCTGATTAGTTGTTTAAGCAACTAATGTCTGCTGGATCAATTAAAAAAATTACATATTAAAAAGTCCAGTGGTAAAGTTATGTAGATACTCTAAAGTAGCAAGAATCACAGGAGAAAGGATAATCAGAATCACATGAACAAATATCTGATCATGAGTTCGTTTCTTTTTTTTGGGAGAAAAAATCAGGGCTGGCTGACCCAGAAGTGATCCTTTTACGATTAGGTATGAAAATAATCTTCAAATCCAAGTAATAGCCATACCTCCCCAGCAAAATCCAGCAGCCCCAACTGCAGAGAAACCTTTGCTTTTCAAAGCTGCAATTACAGGCTTAGCGTCCTCAAACCCTTTGTCCTACAAAAGTATATTGTATTGTAGGCTTACTATGAAAAAAATAAAAATAAATAAATAAAAGTAGCGACACAAAATAGTGGATTGTATACATGGTATATTAAAATACTTACAAGGCATTCTTAAATCAAAATTACAACGAGGAGAAGCCTGTTTACGTTTTCAATGCAAATTGCCAACTAGAAAGAGAATGACGTTAACTTCTAAAACTTGCTAATCAGCATAAAACATATTTTAGGGATCTATACGAAAATTGAGGGGCATGAACATCCTATCTTATATGAGAAATCGCATACAGCGTGATGCAAACATGTGGCAATGCATCGCTGTTCTTGTCTTCTCAGGGCAAATAAAGTTCAAGATTTGATTTCCAATAATGGCCCCTCTGTCCAACACATCTACCAACTTCATATCTCAAATTGATATCACTAGGTTGTATGAACCCACTTAAGTAAAAAGAAGTTGGCTCTTAAACATTGAGTTGCATTTTGATATAATGATTAGAATTTAATTAAGAAACTCCAATGTTAAGCATGCTCATGCGAGAGCAATCCTAGGATGGGTGACCTTCTGAGAAGTTACACCAACGGGATAAAACCGTGAGGCCATTAGGGCAATATCTTGAAAGTTAAGAGTTTAGGTTGTTACAAATAATATCAAAGTGATACACCAGCCAAAAGATAGGAATTAAATGTCATACAAGACAAAATGTTATGCCATGAAACTAACTCTTGAATGTAATATGAGACAAAGTACTACATGGCGGCAGACACCACTTGAATCTGTGGGGGCCGCCTATAGAATTCTATCTGCTTGTTGGATGATTTTGAGAAAAAAATATTGAGAAAAATCTCAGTTACTTAAGTGGGGGAGATTATGAAACCCTTAAGAAGAAATAATTTAAACTCTTAAATATCGAGGTGCCTTTTTGTGTAATGGTTGAAATTTCATTAAGAAACTTCAAAGTTGAGCGTGCTCATATGGAAGAAATTCTGAGATGAGTGACCTCCTGAGAAGTTACACTAATGGGATAAACCCATGAGGCCATGAAGCTAAAGCGGACAATATTTCGATAGTTAAAATTTAAGAGTTTGGGCCATTGCAGGTTGGGTGCTTATTGTTAAAATTGAAAAAAAAAAATGAATCAGCCACTATCAACTCAGAAATCTAACAAGTTTTTCCAGAAGATGCAACCTTTCAACTTATCCCCAATTCCACATACAAGACAACCCGAGAATTTTACTTCTGGCCCAAGAATTTGACACTATTATTTGAGTTTTGATGAAAGTGATAAAGCTAGGTCAGGAGGTGATTTGTAAACTTGAAAAAATGTGATTGGACACCATCCACTATGGAATATAGCAAGTTATTAAAGAAGATGTGAACTTCGGCTTAGCCCGTAAAAGTCCAACAGAGAATTTCACTTCTAACAACCAAAAGTGAAACTTTTTATAAAAACCTTTTTATAAAAACCCCAACGCCCTATGTGTAAATATTGCCTCATTAAGCACCACAAGTGTCATCTAATATTCCATAAATACAAATTTTAGCGTAGGAAAAAATAAAATTAGAAAAGTAATCTATATTTGTTGAGTGTTGAAAGTTTATTTAGCTATTTCTTAGAATATTATACCCCTTCATTTCATCTTATTATAACAGAGAAGCACTCTAGTGAATAAGATAAAAAGAACTTTCCTCTCCAACAACAATAAACTAAAATCTCAAGTTTGTCTACGAACGATTGTATACACTAGCACAAAAAAGATTTTTAAAGCAAATAAAAATGCATTTAAGTGGTGTTGAACAGATTACAGGTCAACAATTGACAACTGGCCAAAGCAATTATAGGTTACAAATTAGTATAGAGGAGAAGAAAAGCATACCGTGCCATGACTTCCTATCCAGGTTGTTATAGGTAACTTTTCTGGAAGATATGGATCCCCATAAAAAAAATCAGGTACCACCACAAAGAATCCAGCAGCTGCAGTTTTATCCGCAAGCTTCCTTGGACATTTAAAAAGATAATAACAAGGTGTGAGGAAATATATATATATATATATATATATATATATATATATATACACTGTTCTTCCGTTTTTGTACCAAACACATGGAAACATTTAATAATTTTACACACAAACTTTTTAATAATTTGAAGAATTGCATGTTTATGACTTATTGAATGGTATTTCTCAGTTTTATTGTGCCAGCAACATCAAAAACAGAAGCAGATTTCCAAAATATAGAAAGCAAGCAAATAAGGGTGACATAATAATAATATAATAAAAAAAATAATAATAATTATGATTATAATTATAATAATTATTATTATTTACAGTCTTCATAATTGGAAGGGATGTTGATTGTCATGAAGTTTCCGCTGAGCTAAATTGCTGTATACTAGAATATAAAAACATTCAAGTGGTCCACCATACCGCAAGTTCGGGGCTTCATATCCTGAAAGAAAAATTATAGCAATATAAGAACCAGGCAAGGAAGATCATGCCTTAGAATAAAGATTTAAATGATAATTTTCCTACGAGCAGCCCAAAAATGATCAACATGAAATAGAAAAGATCAGAGCCAAGTATTGGAAAGAACAATAAGAACTAATCCACATGGAGTTTAAAGGATTAAAGGCGCAGCCTTCCAAGCAAAGAAGCACTCAAACTAATATCTCAAAGGAGCAAAGACATGATTGATCACAGAAAAAGTAAAACACCTACCGCGTGCCAAGTGTCCCAGAAATACCCCACCAACACCAAGAATCTTAGTCCATTAAAAAAAAAAAAAAAAAACTGGATAAAGAGCTGCAGAGCTCGCGAAAAATACCCGAGATGACAAGAATTGCATCGTTGGAATCCCAGGAGCCAACAATGCAGGGCTAAAGGGTTAAAGAAACAGAGTTAATGAACAAAATTAATTAACTACCCAGCATGAGTCAAAAAAGTAAGTGTCTCAAAATGGATTTTCAGTTCCAACCTGAAAATAACCTGCTATCATTTGATCCCGACTGAAACCCAACCCAATTAAGGAAGCACGTTACAAACCCAGATCCGAACCTCACCCGATTCAAACTAGAGTCTACCCGACACGACCCTCTGATATGGTTGGAGCACACACAACAAGCAGAACAGCGGACGATCACTCGCAGGGGCGGGGGAGCAAGAGAGCACTAGCAAGGTGGATGAGCAAGCGCAAGCAGGAGTAGATGATTGAGCGCGTGCAGAGGCGAGCATGAGCTAGAGGCGACTGCAAGGCGACCCACACGCAAGACCAGGTCGATTCCGGGTTGCTTTTGGATTTTCGGGTTGACCCGAACCTGATCCAAAATAGCAATCGGGTCATAATATGGAACCCGACCTATTTTTCAAACGGGTTGACCTGAACACATAATTCTCAGACCAGGTTCGAGTCAAGTTTTTGGGTCATGTCAAATATTGATACCCCTAAAAAAGTGCTAAAGCTCCTTCTAATGGAGTATTGTTGGGAAAAAATTGAGTTAGTATATTATAATCAAAGTTTTTATGAGAATAAGTATCAAAATTATTAAATTTAAGATAAACAATAATACAAAAAAAGTAATAAATATTTATATTATATTCATCATAAAATAAATCCATAATTTTGAGACAAGGATCAAAATTTATTAGAATATCATATCAAAATTTAATATTACTCTTAAGATAAAAATTAGTAATTTTTTCTTACTATTATTCAGATCAAATCAAAATCTTTAATAGAAGCCATCCTAATTGGTTCTAAAAATTTGGTTCAATTAATATTATAATTTTGATTTTCTTTGTTTTTAATTATTTATTTAATTTTTATCTTTTAAAACTTGATCAAATATATATTATACATATAATATTTACTAATTAAATACCGTTTCATTATTATTAACAGTGGTGTTCTGTTGCAAACTTGCTTGGGCTGTAACTGCGATTCTCACTGGCCATAATAAAATATACGCATGAATTTGTTATGTAATTGCAGCAAATTGATTTAGACCATTTAGATAAAAAAATATTTTGATTTCAGTTCGATCAAACAATAGTTCAATTTTGTTTGATTTGCCTTAGAAATAAGTTTGTTGGTTCACTTTCTGATTTTAGAATCAAATCCAAATGATTAAGCTATTCTGTAAATTGAACCGATTAACGGACTTCTACAGCTCCTGGCGAACGAACAATAACTCAAGGTTGAAGATTTTTGTGCTCATTTTGTTTTGAATTGTACTTTTGTATGAAAAGATACACATAGTGACATTCTTCCTTCTCATTTTTAATTATGTTTGTAATTTTATTTTATTTTGATATAATTATACAAAATGAAAGTTTCAAAGAACAAACAAGCAATCAAACGAACTTTTAGGGGAGTACTAAAATTTATTTGACTTGATAATTATTAAGTTCCATAAAACTCTGAGAAATTGCTTAGCTTTTCATACCAGAATTTAGAGATATAAAACATTTAAATTCAGATACAGCAAATCTCTTAAATCCGTTAAATTGTCCTACATCCAGAATTTAACAAAACCTGCGAAATCCTAAACAGGGCATAAAGATGGATTAAGAAGCTGTAGTGCTTAGATAACAGAAAAAAAAAAGAAGTATTTGACAAATTATAGCTAAAATTTTGATTAATTCTATTCGAAACTGCATACCAAATCACCACTTCAAAAGAGCCAGTCCGAGAAAAACAAAACACAAACTGCATGCGAGGTATTCGACAAAATACCCCAAAGAGACCCGAAGCAATCCTGGGCAAAAAGCTACAGGACTCACCAAAAACATCTGAGATTAGAAGGACCGCAGCCTTAGAATCAGAGGAACCGGCTATGTAGGTCTTGAGGCCTCCGAAGCTGTCCAGCACATTGCCATCGCCGGAAGAGGAGCTCAAAGCCGGCGGATTTTCGCAGCACTGTGAACCAGCCATATCGCTTTCAAAAAGCTTTATCCCCAGAAGACTACCGGTACCGATTAATGGAATGAGAAAGATTGAAGTAGACTAGGGATTTATAAAATTTAGTGACGGATGCACCTTCCCAAGAAAATGGGAAAATTTGGATTTAGTGAAAGGGCAGTTTTGTTTCTTGAAAAAATACTGAATGAATTAGTTAAGAGGTTGTCTAGGTGTAAAATAAATGTAAGATGCTTTTTTTTATGCTTGATTTTAACTAAAATGAATCTAATGTAGGCTTCGTTTCGGATGATTTTTTTATTATTTCTTAAAATTATTTTTTGTTAAAAAAATTGTACTAAAAAGTTACTTTAATAAACAATAAAAAAGCCGTCTTAAATGAAACTTTAGTAGTAGTTGTTTATGATACATCTAGCAGGGATGTGCAGTGCGCCTATGATTGACAGTTGCAGGTGGCGGGCAATGATCGGTGGCTATCGATGGCATCCAACAATAATAATGACGGGTGAGGGACGACAACGGCAACAAGATTATACCATTAAATTAAAGGTTTAATTTTAAATATATCAACATTTTATAATGCATCTCTTTTTCATTCAACCAAAGTACAAAATTTTTACAAGCAAACTAAAGAGAAATAGATGGAGAAATGGACAAAAGAAATTAGTAAATCCTATCACTATGGATTTAGTAAATCCTGCTAAAGTTAAATTTCCAGTTGATATGATCATTGGTAGCATAAGCGAATAAAAAACTGCCGTGTAGTTTTGGAGCTTTCCAGGAATTCTAATATTGAATTTGTATGTTAATTTTAATTACTTCTAAATTAATTATATTTTTTATTTTTTATATAATCTCTTACCCCTCTTAAAAAAAAAGAAGAAATTAGTCATAATATTTTTATTAAATTTTTAATTATGATGGATATGTTTTAAAATAGATGTAATATAAATTTTTGATATATATTGTACTTATTTTATTTCATAGTAGATAAAAGTGCTTTTGAGTTATTCTAACCAATTTTTCTATCAACATACCATAATATAATTTTTTACAAAGAAAAGCAAATAAAAATAATATATATAATATTTGCAAGAAATTTAATAAATATTGGGATATTTCTTGTCATGCAAATTTTGTTGACACTAATCTTAAAACACTCTAATTTTTATTATGCTATTTTAGATCATTTTAATATTATATCCAAATCACATACACAAAGAAAAGAAAAGTTGAGAGGACCTCATAGTAGAACATGGAATCCTGAGAAAAAATAGAATCACAAAATCAGACATAATTAAAATGATTCCACTAATGCTTATTATAAGTACAGAAAAAGCGTTTCCTTGTAGTTAGAGGTGTACTTGATACAAATTGTAGAAGATGGCTTCCAATATGAAAGCAAAATTCCGAGTTGGAGGTACTTTAAGAGATCCATTTGTAGTATGCTCGTTCATTCTCCTTACAAGCTAGAGGGAAGGCCAATGATTAGTAGATGAGCTTAAGCCGTGGTGTTAACATCAAGCATTGTGGTTGATGGTGATGATGAATGACGACCATGTTAGTGACATCAAGCATCGGAGCTGATGTCGACATTAATACTAGCCTTAATGTTGATGGCATATATCAACTTTGATGGTGATTACAAGCTTCAACATTGTTGGTGACAATAGGATAATGACCATTTTGGTGTCGATCGACATCAAAGTTGATAGAAAATGGTGTTGGTGTAAACGGTGTGCATTAGCCGTATGTGGCCATTGATGTTATTGGTGATGGTGGATAAAGAAGTTGGTAGGTGTCAATGTTAATGTTAATGACATGTATCGACCTTATTGACGATAATGTGTATATCAACTTGCATCTGCTTTGTTTCCAATGATAAGCATCGATGTTGTTGAATTCGTGATAGTGGTAGGCAAAACCAACATGCATTATTATTGGTGTTGATGGCAGCCATCGACCTTATTAGTGATGGTGAGTATCAACGTTGTCAGCGAAGATGGGTGATAAAATTGGCGGGCATTATAGTTTGCATTGATCGTGTAATGCTCCAAGATCAAAATTTGAAAAAATTATCAAATTTAAAATTTTAATTAATCTACAAAACCTACTAATCTCATTTCAGTTAATAGAAACCAGCACAAGAACCTATAAATTATTTTTTTAAAGTTGCAAATTTCATTTATTTCTCAAAATTCATATACAATTGTCAGATGTTTAATCAGTACAACATTTTATTTTTACATACTCATAACTACAAAAGAAAAAAAAACACTGAAAATAAAATAAACCTGAAAATCTTGATTTACCTCATTCCACTAGATCCTAACCTACTCCTGAAAACATATAAAATTACTGAGTGAGCAAATGGCTCAGTAGGTTTTCAGAATATATGACTGCAATCAATGTACGATAACAAAAAATAACATGGATGTAATCATTCAATCCATATCAGTATAGACGTGTACCTATAAGATCATGGAGCAGTCAATATAAATAATGTCATTTCATATGAACAATAAAAATGATTTAATGAACAACCCAAAATTTAAAACTTAGTCAATTTTTTTTTTTTTTTTTTTAAATATGAAATATTTAACATCTAAATAAAGCTTAGGTGGCTGTTATTAATTTTTTAATATTTAAATTTATTAAATAAAATAAATTATTTTAAAAAATATTAATTTTTATTCTAGTCGGCTCGACTCCTCCATTCAATCGTGACGTAATCGGAAAGGAAAGGCAGAAAAGGGGAGAGGAAGAGGAAAGAGAGGAAGCTCTGCAAGGCCTTTCTATTTGTCACTTTTATTGTAAAGATTGTTCTAATCGTTATAAGTAACTATCCTCTTACTTATGTATTCAATGGTTTTGATTATGTGGATTTTATCTCTCATAAATCTATCAAATATATTATCTTCTAATTTCGTAAGCTTTCATCGTGTAACTTTTGATATGTTATAGATTTAATCATTATAAATTATATGACATGATTTTATTACATTTTCATTGGTTAACTTTGTTTATATAAATATTTCTATGGAAATAAAAGGAAAAAGTATATCCTCTTTTGAATATCTGAATACTGTTATCGATACTTTGACTATATTGACACTGGTCACTATTACTGATGATTTCTGATATGTTTATTAATACTGATAGACTGTATTGATATTGTGATTAACACTAATATTATTTTCTATTACTGATAGTGTAACTGATGGTATAATATACTAAGATAAATTGATAAAGATAACTAGTACATTTAATGGATAATGATGTAATATATATTTTCTTATGTTGATTTAAAGCATAATGTTTCTCTTTTATTTTGCATTGATTTTAGTTGTATAATTTTAGTTATTTGTTAGGCTATTCACTCATTAGATTGTTTTACATGATTTCATGTAAAGATAAGTAACTTGTTAATTGAGGCTTTACTATAATGTGTTTTAGTTTTCTTTTGACTATTCTAGTATATGCATATTCTTTTTTATCTTATGAAGTTATTGTATATATTATTTTGGACTCTACTAACATCATGTAAATATGAGCTATAGTTATATGAATTATGATTTTTTGTTATTTATTAGTTTTCTTTATTGCCTCTGATCAACTTTGAATGTTTATTAATTTGGGTTATAAATGAATAGAATGAGATTGAAAAGATAATGGTACGAAAAGGAAAAAGCATAAAAGAAATTCTTTCACTTTAGATCCCGGAGCATAACATTTAAAGTAATGTAATTTAAACTCAATGATTAGAAACCATATAAAGGATCAATAAATTTTATCATTCCTATATACATGAGTTTCAAAATAGTTTATATAAGTCTTTATATGTATGCCATAAATAGTCTATACATGTATATGTTCCTATCATATGCAATATTTCAGGTATCAATCTTATCAATATTATTAGCCTTATTTGTAATGTCGTTATGTATGTTTGTCATATATAATGAGCATCATGTATGTCATATAGTTCATCTAAATCATTTGTCATTATATTGAACTTATCAGTCATATCACGTGTTTGTATCAATCATGTCCTGTATCGTATACATGACATATCATATCATATAACTTATGTAATGTATTATATATATTAATGCAACATGCATATATAAATAATATAAATAAGATATGACATCCAACTACATATGGTGTTTTCCTTGTATCCAGTACTGTAGGCCAACCCTATAAAAATCAATCTTAATCATATTAGTCATGTTATCAGAAATTAATCTTATTTCACATATCACAAGTCAGGTAGCTTTCATGTAAGAAGTTGCCAGTTCTTGTATGTTAGCAAATCATATCAGTCAATCTTCTTATGTCTACCTATTCAAATCACTTAGGATTACACAACAAATTTTATTTAAAAGAAAGTTTATCGACCCGCCCTCTTATACGGGACAATATGTCTCTCAGCCAATCTAAATCAATCAATTATTTTCAACCAGCCTTTTTTGCATTTACACACATTTCATATTATATAGATCATAATAACAAATATTATATACATCCAATCTAATTATCATTATCCTCATTAAGATGGTTGTAATATGCCGAACAATATATGTTTGACTAAATGAACAATAAAAGTATGCATATCATGTATTGAATGTCCAAATGCAATATACTAACTCCTGATTATTTTAGTCTTGATATTATACAACTCATTTCAATTAAAATGTCATATAAACAAAAACATCCAATGAAATTTTAATATTAATAAGTTAAAATACTCAAGATAGTTATATCTATCGCATACCAAAAGTTATATGACAGAAAATCACTAAAATAAGATATATTATATTTTCATTAATTTTAGGAGGGAGAAAAATAAGAAATCATACAAATAGAGATAGGTTTAACATTATCTACAACGATCAAAACACTATTCTCAAAAAATGAAAGGCATGCATATATGATTTCAGTGACGGTAGACGATAAAAATGGTGAGAGTTGATATACAAGTTAATCACATGCATCAACCTTATTAGCGATGACAGAAGTTAACATTTGTGTCGATGGAAAAAAATCATTGAGTCAAGGTGGTATTAGGGAGTGCACCAGTCAAAGGTTTGTTAAGAGGGAGGGAGGTGAAATACAAAATCCTTAATAAATACTCGATGAGGAAGTAGGGATAAATCAATTTATGAGAAATAGTGAGAAAGAGAGGACATAAAATTTTTTAGAGCACTTTGGTTAGGTGATGGTTGACCTCATTTTCAGTTGAGGTCATTCAAACCTTAAATCTCTGAACATATCATCTTGCCTTTGGTTTAATGACTAGCCTAGATGCCTTAGATCTAGTCATTGAACTCCAAACTCTCCAAATTCAAACACTTTTCAATCATTTCAAAACTCTGATTTATATTCAATTTGCCTAGTGGACTGCACTTTGCATCTGTTAAATATAAAATTGTATACTATTTATTGTGTTAAAATTTAATGAAAATGCGATGTTTTAATAATGTTTGTGCAAAAAATATTTAGGAGAATGTAAACATTTATAAGTATTAAATGAGTATTGCACCACCCACAAACTCAGTGTCGTTACATTTCAATTAACAATGCCCCAACGCCTAATTCGAACATTGCAGTGCCGATTGCTCTGGAATTTTAAGGAGATCAATGCCCGCGGCAAAGCCAAGGTTAGCATTGTAGTGCATCACAATGCCGATGTTTCAGAAATCAACATGCCAACACTGAAGCTAGGGCTAAAGGCCATATAGCCTTAAGGACATGGTGTTTGTAAGATCTTTTATCAATTTGAAGATTATTCACTCAAAATCAATTGAATTTAACTTTTGTTTTTGACTCGATATAGATATTCATCTATGATATCTCCTGTAAGCTGATTAAAATTTTATTTTTTATTTGGCAGAGACTTCTCTAATAATAGCCAATCACATGATTATTATTATTTATTATCATTTTTTTCTATGTGGAAAAATCCGGCTGCATGCTACACATCACCCATAAATAGTACAGGAAACTACCGGAGTTAAGGATTTATATGGGACGACAATAGTTTTTTATAAAGCTGATTGTAAATTGCCGTGGAGTTATTAACACTTATAAAAGATGTTGTAAAAAATAATTTTCTAGTATAAATTTTTTTTGAAAGCGGTGAAAAAATAATGGCAAAAAAAAAATTGTAATCATCATTTGAAAAGAAAAGTAATAAATTTTTCCAAATGAAATCTAAATCTTTCAAAAATTGGCTAAGAATATTTTGACCAATTCTTTTATTTAAACAAGTCTTAAAGATAAAATATTAATTTTTATTAATTTTGATGTGTTATTTTATTCTAAAAATAAAGCTAACAATTTTAAAACTCATCTCGACATAAATAGATCATTTAATTTATTTGAAGAATAGGAAATATTAATCAGCAAATGAAATAATGTTAAGCAAAATGACAAATCTTCAAATTTTGACTTCGTTTAGGATAGTTTCCTTCCGGTCTTCTAAAATAATTTTTTAGTATAAAAAATTTTTGAATAATTTTTTTATATTAAAAAACTATTTTTAAAAATCATTAAAAAAACTATCCCAAACCAAACTTTCATTTCAATCAAAATTTTTAAAATTTTACTAAACCAATTAGCTTAAATATGTACAACTAAGGCTTCGTTTGGAACAATTTTCTTATTGCTTATTAAAGCTGCTTTTCAGAACAAAAAATTTAAATTTTGTATTAAAAAAATATTTTAAAAAACAGTAAAAAAGCCGCTCCAAAAGAAGCCTAAATTACTTATTAGTGAGGATGGCATAAGGTGAACAACTAGCAGTGGTGAAGTTAGGTCAATTGTATTTTGAGGTCTTAAATTTGAGTCATGGAAGCAGCATCTCCACAAGTATGTAATTTAATTCTCATCACTACATATACAATCATTGCCATCATCATCAATGTTTTCTCCTATATCACTGAATCTATACCCTTCAATTAGTTTTGCCTGCCAAAAGGCATATCAATAGAAAGAGACTTTGTCACCTTCATTATGAATGACAATTCACACACAATCTAAAAAGTAAAATAATTAGGCATGATACATAATTTTTTATGTTAAAAATCTTTAAAAAATAATAATTTAACCCAATTAAATAGCATTGGAAGGTTGCGAAAGACATTAAGGCTTCGTTTGGGACAGCAATCTTACTACTTATAACAAGAGATTATTCTGTGCGGAGTCCGAACACGTTTAAAGGTGAATTCAGACACGCTACATCACCCAATACACTATATACATTGGGTTACATGGTACATCAAAAATTATTCTCCAGACGCATCCGGATATCGCATGTAATAATTTTTCCATTATAACACTATAACTTAAAATTTTAAAAGTTATATAAGGACAATATTAATTAAATAAATATGAAATGAATTCATATCATTATAAATTTATTTCAGTTACTGATAGGATAAAAAAGTTAGAAAAAAGTGATATGATATTATTGGCTATTACATCGTAGTAGAATGTTTACCTTAAATTGTTTTTTTTTTTTAAGAACTCATTAGGATGGTTGGGATCATCCTCCTTTTAGATATGAAGACAACATGAGCTTAGGGACATTAGATGTATCATTACTAAGATTTCTTTTGGGACGGCTTTCTTACTGTTTCTTAAAACAACTTTCTAATAAAAAAATTAAAATTTTTGTATTAGAAATGAGAAAACCATCTCAAATGAAGCAATATATGTTCATAGAGGCCTTTAATGATACTGTCATAGAGCATATACAATAGAACTCCAAACGCTTGAATGCCGTCGCCTCGGAACTCCAGCCGAACGATAAAACATCCGCTATTTTCTTTCGGGTGAACAATGGGACGCCAATATTGGCCTTGCACTGTGCATCATCACTATTTTTCTGCCTTTATCGAACTTACCAAGGAACGCACGAAAGAAGAGAAAGACCGATACCTTCGCAAAATGGAGTTAGAGTGGAGATGAATCACGACACTTTTAAGTTTCACGGCATTTTGGAGTGAAAAATGCAATTTTCCGTTAGAGATTGTCTTAACAAGTGAAAGCAACACATCCTAAAAAAAAGTGAATGAAAAAGAATAAGAAGAACGTGGAGGGTCATCAAGGGTAACATAGATGATCCTCCTCCTGGGAATGAAAGAAATTACACCTTTAGGGTGATAATTAAGGCCCAGTTGAAAGGTCATTGAGGTAATTAAGCATAGCAACATATATCCTCATATTGTAGGTGAATTCGATATAATCTTAGAGCAACAAACAAAGCATCACCCAAAGATCATGGAGGCCATCAAGAATAGTTGGATTAATCTTTCTCATAGGGTTTAAGGCAATATGACCTTGAGGTGAAAGCATGACATAAGTATGAATAAATGAAATACATGCTAAGAACTTCATGTGGCAATGAGAACACTAAAACTCTCCTATAATCCTATTTAAATGATTTAGACATTGAGAGAATATTTTGTTCCTTATCAAAAAAATAAATTGTATTATTGTTTATTTCAATTAATAATAAATACACTAGATCATTCCCAATCTCGATTGTGGCGTAATCGAGATGATCATAGTAATCTAGTCATAGCCATAATTGGTCTATATTTAGATTTCATTTGGAACAACTTTTTTATTGCTTGTTAAGGTAACTTTCTAGTAAAAAAATAAAAGCTACTTTAAAAACCAGTAAGAAAGTCATCCAAAACGAATCCTTAATTGATAAACCAACAATACCATCATGCAAATATAACACCACAAATTCAACAGAGCTAACAAATAAAAATTCTAATGATCAAATCAATGAACAAGTTCCAAGAAAAATTCTTGGATCGAATTTAAGACCGTTGAATATAATTATAGAAAAAGCTGAACTCCAATAAAATTCAAAATTTTATCAAACAATCGAACACCTAAATGGAGAACATAGTTGAAATAATTAGATAACAAATGGGTATAATAATCTACTCTATAGACTTTATACAGTCTATCCAAGTAATTAATCTATTTTATGATACAATTGCGTTCAGCTTTATACAATGGAAAAAAGACTCAAACTGACTTCAAAATATTCCATAAAATTAGCAAGAGCAACTGCATTATAAATGCAATGCAAGAGCCATAATCATCATATAACTAACATAATTAACAAGATTAGAGATCTATTAAGACTAGCATATCTTTATATCAAGATCAAGAGGCATAGATTAGAAAAAAATAATAATTATGTGTACTGGTTGCTGAAAACATACATTATTCAGGCTAGAAATTGTGTCAGGATTTTATAACCTGCTTCGCTTGGCCATCATTAACTTCCAAGCTATCAAAATCTGCATCTTATACCGAGCCTACAACCTTTCTCCAGCATTCACCGCCGCTCCAAACTGCAAATTATGCGAATGTAAAACGTGATTAACATTTGAAACGAAAGAAGGGAAAATCAGTTTCTATTACTGTGCGAAATATTGATTTGGATATATAAAGTACTCTTTAATTGGAGAGATTATTCTGTGCGGACGCCGAACGCAGTTTATTGTTCGGACACCAATCAGAATGCACCACGTTAGTGGTACCGAGCAGTATCGAGCTGGGTACTGAGCAGGGGGCGATGTGGCGCATTCTGGTAGGTCTCTGAACGGCATTTGGCATCTGAATAGAATAATTTCACCTTTAATGGAGCCACATAAACTGTGGTTACGGGGATCAATAAAAAACCCCAGAAATTTGCCTTTTGGGAGAATTAAATGCAGACCACCAAAAATACGTCTATTCAAAAAAATACCACCTAAACAAAAGCTGAGTCAGTAAACTAATGTATTTGCAAAACATTGAGCATTTGATCAAATCTTGCGCATGAAATTTGGTAGTTTTATTCTGAATTTTGAATTTGGGTGGTAATTTCGTAAATAGAAACAGTTGGGTCGCATGAAATTTCTTTTTCGGATACTACAATATAAATTACCTTCAGATGGCCTCTCAATCCAAGGACCATTCATGATGTTCAGAATGCTGCAGGCATCACTGTACTCAAGATCAGGAAGCAATTTTGGTGTCAACAAGAAGCACCTGACAATGCAATACCAGAGTTTATCCCAAGGATACCGGAACTAAGGCTTCATTTGGGACGGCTTTCTTGTTGCTTCTTAAAGTGGTTTTTTAGTATAATAATTAAAATTTTTGTACTAGAAAGCTGCTTTAGAAAGCAGCAAGAAAGCCGTCTTAAACGAAGCCTAAATTTATTGGAATTAAAATATCTCATAGAGATGCTCGGTATCCAAAATGTATTTCTTACTGGGGTGTATTATGTAGACTGGCAGCTCTCACAAGTTGCTGAAACATTTTCCTTTCGTTTATAGGGTCCATTCCTTATTACAATTTAGTAGTAAATCATATTACATAGTGAATCCATTAGGCAGATGAAACAAAAGGAGCAACTTTTATTATTTTTTTATTAACATGAGAAAAATACCTTGATTAATTTCATCAACAACACGGAAAGGACAGTTTGTGATATCTTGTAGAGAAACAAGATAGAGAATAGTTGAAACCGAGCGTTCCTAGATATATCGAAAACTGGATCAAGTTACAGTTATATATGTTATCATGCCCAAAAAAAAAACTAAGGCTTACCCCTCCAGATTGATGATGTGCGCTCAAAACCTGGAGCTGCCCTGTTTGCCTGAGAAGAAACGCAGGTCCTAACTGAGTTTATTAAAGTAAGTCACAGGTCAAATAAAACGTTTCACAAAGAAGATCAACATGCTACAGCAGAAAAACAAACTAGAAAATAAAACTAAATTATAAGCAAACATTTAGCAGAAGGAACCTTCAAGTAAAATATAGTTTATTCTGATAAGCGTAGAAGTATAATGGAAGCAAACGCCGTATAATATTATAAATCCCCTTCATTATGGATTGGTTTAGGGAGTTTCATCAATTACAAAAGAGTTACAGCTTCCTTTATAGTGATACTAAATGGCTTGTTGAAGTTGGTATCCTTTAAAACATGGAATTACCACAATGAACAATCTAATGTCGGGTCGGATGGAAGAGTAGCAAAATATGATGGTATAGCCTATTAAATTTAAAATAAGATGAATACAACAAAACATGTCCTAAGAAGTATACTTATAATGATACTAAAATGCAATACATGACACATTATCGATATTTGTCCAACATCAATTTGGTTGGAGGAAGAATTTGAAAGTCTTCGTGGCGCCAAGATAGCGAAACACATCCCAAGATAGAAGAGAAGAAAATGCCATTATCCTATAAAGAAAGATGAAAGGGACAAACAACACCATCAATAGCACATCCGTGAAAGAATCCATTCAAAGAACCTCTTTAAACAATCAAGCATATCTGAAAAAAGGATCTTTATTCCAAATTAATCAAGTAAATGATATTATCTTTGGGCAATTTATTCTTGAAGTAGACTAGTTCTATTGGGTAAATCAAAGGTGATCCATATACCTTTGTCTATTTTTTGTATTTTCCTTCTCAAGACTAATGGCTAGGATTAAGAGTTAAGGGCCAGAGCTTTATAAGTATGTTTGATTTCGTAGTTAGGGTTTAATTCATCACAGAGTGGGTGAATAATGTCTAAGAATTTTCTTAGAGAAATTTGACTTTATACACATCATCATATTCAAAATTTGATCAAATATTGCTGGGGACATCAGATCTTGGAAGGTTTATCAGAGACGTGGCCGCCGATCTACGACCACAATTGAGTCATTGTATTTTTGATTTGTTTTATGTATTTTCTTATTCATTATGTCGTATTGTATTTGTTTTATTTAGTTTCCCGTTGTACCCTTTTATTAAGGGATGTCGTATGTAAGCCCTAGGAGCATTGTTGTCTTTTATGTTTTTGTCATTGTATGAGGCTATTTATAGCTCCCTTATTCTTCTTTGCAAGTTAATGATTGATTGATTAAAATATTTCTTCCCCTTGCATGAGTTCTTGTGAGAGCTTAAGAGATCGGAGAGAGATCCTGTTAGGCCGGTCCAGTTGGCCCAACCGGTCTGGGTCTTCTCCAGGCGGAAGCGGAACAGGGAGCCGGCGGAAGAAAGGAAGGGGCTTGGGGTGGGGTCCACTTGTAATTCAAATAAAGTTTAAGTATTTTTGGAGGGAGAATGAAGGGTAGAGATGTCCTTTTGCTTTAGTTTTGAATTAGATTGTATTAAGAGGGAGTTAACCTAGGTTTTAGTTTTTATCTTGATTTTGAATGTGATTTGGGAGATCTAGGTTTTCTTTTGGGCTCTAGGCTACGGCTAGAGATTTGGAGAGTTTTTCCTTCCTCTCGAATCGAAGGAAACTTGTATCTTTCTTGTCTTTTGCATCGACTAGTGAAATTCAATCGTTTGCTATTGTTTTTCCTATTTTTTCCTACGATTTCTCTCAGATTTTTCCACTGTTTGTGTTTGGTGGCTGTTTTCCCATAGAAAACAGCGGAATAGTTGCGATTTGGCTTAGATCCTATAGGAATCACTTGAAATACTCAAGTGGTACCTATCAGATCCCTAGGAGAGGGAGAAGTGCGCATCACCCACCAACCTAGACGAGTCGGGTTCGTGGTTTTAGCTTCTATCTTTTCTTCTTCCCTTCCCTACCTCCACCGTCCTTACCCCTCCATCATCGTTGCCCGACTTACACCACTACCCGAACCCCTCCTTTCCCCCCCACCACATTCCCTAAGCCACCCCCACCTAGCCGCCGACTCCCTTACCCGAACCCCAAGCAAGCCGCCGGCCACCCTCTAGCCTTACCCTCTCGTGGATTTATTTTCTATTCTAGATTGCCATAATTTTGGTTAGATTTTGAATTCAAATTCACCTAATTTGAAATTTAAAATATTTTCTAAAATTATAAAATCTATTTTATGAAAGTTTCCAAAATTAAATCCTTTTGAATTTCAAATTTGATTGGGATTTAATTAAACCTTTACTAATTCCTAAACCCAAATTAAGAAACCTCAAATCTCTCCCCTAAATCCCTCCTAGACTCCTGATGCCGCCAGCCACATAAATAAATCCCTTGGGATTTATTTCCAAATCTCCTAAGCCCACTCTTGGAAACCTTTCCTTATTCCTATTCACCTATTTGGCCGAATTTTCCTAAAGTCCACAACCCCTAATTTATTTCCAAAACCAAATATTTGATTTAGGAAATAAATCCCCCTCCCCATCTCTCTCATGCTGCCGCCTCCCTCTCTCTACCCGTCTCCTCTTTCTCTCTCCACTCCCTCTCTCTCACATTAATTCCCCTCCTCACTCTAGGGAAATTAATTCCCCCCTCCTAATTGTCTTCTCTCTTAATTTCAAAATCTGAAATTTATTTCAGATTTTTGAATTTAAACATCTCCTCCAACCAAAACCCTAACCCACGTGTGGCTCTCCCCTTTGGCCGGCCACACCTCTTCACACCACTTCAAGATAAAGGGAAACTTCTTTCTCTTCGACGGAGTTCAAGGTTCCTAGTAATCTTTGAAAGCAATCGTCATCTAGCATTCATGAATGGCCGATCCCGCTACTGACTACGGACTTGACTACGACGAGCACGGCTTTGTGCACATTCTCCATTCAACCTTCTTCGACGTCAACCCGAGGATCGACCATACGATTGAGGACTACATTGAGCGCATCTTGGATACCTTGGTTGAAGCTATTGAAGAACAACTTGAGATCGTCGAGTGGAGGATTGCCGCCGATCCTTGAGGGAGATTTTCTAATTTTCCCTTTTCTCGTATTTCTTAAGTCTAATCATTTCTTCTGATTTGATTGTAGTCACGAAGGACGCGCTCGCCCGATCCTGCTAAGCTTAATAAACGTAGGGATTTGAGTGCATTCATTTGTTTTATAATCTTATTGTTAGACTAGGGATTTTCGTTGAAAGCTACTACTTTGATATGATGTTATTTTCCTACGTTATTTTGATGATTCAAATATTTTGATGTGCAACTTAGCCTAAACGAAAGTGACTACTCTTACGTTTCGATTCGTCGTTTTATTTGCTAATAGGTTTCTTTGTTATTTCTCTAATCAATAAGTTGTGCAAGCTCTTAATAAATCATTTGCAAGCATCGTAGTCCTACATCAAATATGCTCGATTTTTGTTTTCTTAGAGAAATACATTTGAAAGTTTATTTCATACCAAAATATCCCTCATTAATTGGAGACTATTTATTTGAGGTTCGTTGCGAATGAAATTAGATTGAACTTATTTGTAATCGAACCTTAATTTGAGCCAGGTTCAAACTTCTTTGTACTTGAACCTTAGCTCCAATAAAAATTGATGTTTGAACAAGGTTCAAATATTGTTTGAATCATATTCAAATAATGTTTGAACAAGGTGTTTGAATCATACTCATGTGTTGACAAGCCATCCTAGGGACTTTTAGTAAGGACCTTTTCCGACACTAAATGCCCTCCAAGACTCGTACATAGGTGGTCCCACTAGTGACATTCAAATAAGCAGAGACCTTATCCACTCTCTTATAAAAAAAAAGCTCATACAATAATAAGCCTTCTTGAGAACTTTTAGTGAGAACCATGTCCAACAATAATAACCCTTTGGAAACTTCTGCATAGGTGAAAAGCTTGTTTGCTCACAAGCCATCCCAAGGGACGCTCTTCAAGAATTGCTTTTGGGAAATTTTAGTAAGAAACTTGTTCAATGCTAGATTAACTCTAGGGCTCAGTCATTGGTTAACCCTCCAAGAACTTTTGAATAGGTGGAGACCTTACATGTTCATCTGCCCTCTGGGGTTCGCGCTTTGGGAATGCTCTTAAGGACTTATGAAGAGCCAAAAAGCTTGTTTACTCGACCTCCTGAGCCTCCTCGGGAGTCACTCTTAGGAATTTTTTATAAGGACCTTGTCTAAGAAATGATGGGCCTCACATCTGAGGAGCCACTCCTAGAGCCTTTTGATGAGGGGCCTTGAGTGGGCGATGATGCCAAATATTATAGTTATTAGTCAATGAGAGAGGGAAAGGTTTACCTCAAATGATACTAAAGTATTGCACGTTAGAAGTCCTGTAGGAAAAAAAGAATTTTGATTGCCTTAGCTATGAATGATAATCTACACACAATCAAAGAATAAATAAAATGAGAAGGATATAGAAGAGCTTTACATGAAAAATTAAAAAAAGAAAAAAAATATGGGGCCTTACTGAATGATAGCTTCCACTAGTAGTAGTATGAGTTAACAAGAGTTTCCTCCATAAACTTTGTAACGAGGTTAATACAAAGCAGATGAGGTTAGGTTATTGCTAGTATCCTTGATGTTGGAGACATGGTAAAAATACATACCCAAACAATCCAACCTTGGGAGGCAAAGGTAGCATGATTTGAACGGATATATGAGTCAGCACTAAAAGGTCGAGGTAACAACTAAGGATGGCTGAGTCATTCAACTTTTAGAGGGGAAGGTGGCATGACCTAATGGCTGACAAAAAGGTACAAAAAAAGTTATGAAGGTGATTGATGACAGTCAATATAGTTCATATAATACCCAAAATTTTCAAAACAAATGTAAACATGAATTTTCTCTAAAAGTTAAATATGTTTTCATGAAATCATATTTTCAATTTTGGGCATTTTAAGATATACAAGTAATAGCCAAAACGAATTAGATTAATTGATCTTATCAATTAATTTTACTGTAGCTGTAAACAGTCAATTAACTACTATGCTTAATTAAATAGGCCACTACACTTAATTAACCCTACAGCTAACTAAATATAATTAATTAAATATTTAATGTAGCCTTTTGTTCCTCACTAGAGTTCCCACTAATCACGGCATGCATAGGTCTGATTGAGACCAACGGATGGGAGCAGCTGGGGAGGGTCAGTGGAGTGTTGTGGAGGATAAATTCAAGAAAGCTGTTAAGTGTGGAAATCAGTAAGGACAAAAGATAAAGGTTTTTGTATGGTTGAAATTTGTATTGCACTGAAATCATAGTGTGCTGAATTTAATTTCTAGAATTCAGAACATGTGCGGATTTGATTGCTGAAATCAGTGTAGTTATTGCTGAAATCATGGTTTGTGTGCTGAAATCAGTGAAGGAAGAGATCAAGGTTGCTGTTAAATTGCTGAAAACAGCAGCTAAAAACAGTAAGGAGAACAAATTCAGTTGGTTGTTGCTGAATTCGGGAAGGAGAAAAAAAAAATAGAGAAAAGAAGAGAAGGGAAGCAAGGGAAAGAAGTTAGGAGAGGAAAAGGAAAATTTGGGGTTGAATGAAAAAGAGTGTAACTGAGGTAATTTGTAAGATGTTTAATGCCTATTTTATTTTATTTAAAAGCATGTATAAATGACAAAATTTATAATTTAGGTTGTATACAAGAAGAAAAGAAGTCGGGGTACTTTAGGTGAACTAGTTTACCCGATTGTCCTGGAGAACGAGGTGAGATATTTAAACTATGGTATAGAAAATAATAACACTTATTATACTTGCAACCTCATATTTTATATGATTGTGAGCATTAATTCCAGTTTCATTGCACAAGTAAATGTGAAAGACTTGACAAGGTAAGCCCTAATATCTCAATTCTAAAAGTTGAGATTTCGGATCCAACCTTGAATGAGAAGCTGCCCTCAATTCTAAAAGTTGAGAATATGGACCCAACCTTAAATGAGGTAGTAAGTGTGCAAAAACCTATAGTCATCATATGACTTGCATAAACATATGAACAATAAACAGAACATAAAATGCTGTTTTGTACAGTTTATGCTTATTTCCCATTTTATTTCCAATTGATTACAAACATGTTACTTCTTATATATTGTTTGTATATTTCATTGAGCTCTAGCTCTTTAGTAGTTGTACTGCAAGAAAGAAAAATGAGTTAGTGGGTCATTAGGTAGGAAGGTTGATTGTCTTTTTTGTGTACATACATTTTGAGTGTACATAAAGATCAGAGTAGAATTTGTACATACATTTTTTAGTATGTAAATATTATTTGAAAGTTTAGTAAAACTTTGTATTTCTTTGATAAGGTGCATATGCTTCCAAGTGAAAAAATTGGTTGATGAATTGGTTAAATTGGAAAGTGCATCGTAATGGAATAGTATGAATAAGTTATTTCCTACTTACTTGATTTTGATAGGAGTATTTCAGAAAGAGTGTTAATAAGAAAAATGACTCTCTAGCTTCTCAATCTATGTTACACTCTAGGTTGATTGTAAGGGAAGTCAAAATGGGGTGTGACAGTTCACCCTTTAAGGGGTGAAGGTTACACCTTAAGATGATGGATGCCTCAATGCAGGAAATCCATGAATGTGACTGAGGAGTTGAGTGACCCTCCTTCGAGAGAAGGAGATGGAATGATTTGAAGGCAATAAGCAAACTAACACATGATGATTCTGGTGACCAGTAAAGATGGTCATGCAAGTACTCCCCTTGAAGGTGAAGGCATCGCCATATGGAGAAGGTAGATGAAGTGCAACTATAAGGTTGTAGAGGTTAATGAGGATGCTAGATCTTGAGGTAGGTGATCGCTTGAGTATTTCCCTGAGTCCCAAGCTCTCTTGGGCTTGAAAACTCTTACAGTTCCTTGACATCAGCTGTTCATAAGATTTTCTTTTAGCTCTCTGAACTTGTATGAGCTTGGAAAAAATCCAATAATTCTTTGACAACAACTCGTAAGATTTTCTTCTAGCTTTATGCTCTCACGGACTTGGAAAATCCTACAATTCATCAACAATGATTGTTCATTGATTTTCTCTTGGCCTCGGGCTCCCTTGTTTAGAAAAATCCTACAACATTGAATGCCCTAAATGAGCAAAATTAAGATCTCATTATGTATATTTTGAGAGAGTTATTTTGATCCTCATCTACATTATACCAAAATATAAATATTCCTAAATCTTATCAACAATAGACAAATCAAATCGTGCCCTAGCTTGGTTGAGAAGTGGTCGTAAAATCCTACCTTGTGGTTGCTTCTATCATGCTTAAGAACAACAAAAATCTACCAAGCAATAAAATAATTTGCATAAAAGCATAAGCTTAAGCCATAAGAGAGAGATTTATAATGAAATTTGGTTAAAAAGGATAAATGGCTCAAACTGAAGTAAACTGACCAACACAAACAATGACGCTTAGCATCATCATAGTCACAATCAGCATGTTCCAAACTTCTGGTGTTGAAATTTTCAAATTCATTGGTATGGTAAATTGTTGTCCTATAAGGATATTTCAATTCTAGAAACAAGCATTTTAAAACTTAAAAAAATATATAGTATGATATCCATTTCATTTCAAGTCCAAGAAGAATAGTTTATTTCAAGCAATATTTACATTAAATAAATAGTAAAGAACAACTCAAGCTAACTGCATGTTTAACTGCTAAAAACAAATTCAAACATCAGAAAATAATTTTTAGTCCTTCCAATACTATTTGCAGTCCTACAAAATTTATAGTTTAGAAGTATCACAAAGTAAAAACAGCCAAACAATTTCAACCATGTTTATAAAAATCTTAGTTAAAAATATCAACTGATCATCGTCTCTTCAGGTTGATAAGTTACCTGAATTTGACTTTAATAAGTATGCCGTACTTATCATAATCCACATCATGCTCATCTGTAACACCGCAAGGGAAGAAAGTATTACACTTCTTTAGTAAGCAAATTTCAAAGACAAGAGACTTCAATATTATACCCAAACAAACTTCTCCAGCAACTGCCATCTCTCGAAAATTGCGACTGAAAGTCTCATTAATCTTCCCAACAAGGTTTCGCAATGTTGGCAGCCACTGATCCTACATGATGCAGTATGTTAAGAGTATAGTAAAATAAAATAAACCTCCAACTGCGCCGCCCCCCTATAATGAAGTTTGGCTTTGTTCAGTTAATTTTTATGAATCTTTTGCTATCACTTTTTGAAGTGATGTAGGACTACATGTAATAGCAAATGTAAGCACTTGAAAATTTACACAAACAGGAATAGAGCTTTGCAATTAATCAACTTATTGTGTTTCTTAACAAAGTTTAAGCCAACGAGTTGGTGATTAAGCTCAAGCAATTAATTACACAGGAAAAAATTAGAACCATAAAAAAATCATAGCAAGTTATATCATGTGAATGTAGGGTTTTTCAAAAGGAATCCCTTATTTAACAAGGTGAATAGTCACTATGGGAATCCACTCACTTAAACTCTTATTTTGGGTTATGCAGATAGATCTTCATGATCAAATGATGCCAAGATTGATGGAGGATTAAAAGGTGCGAGGAAGGGAGAGAGTTTACCCAAAAAATAGGAGATAATGAGATAACAACGACGATGTGTGATCGCTTCTTAATGAAGGGCAGTAGTGCGAAGTCTTTTCTCGAATTCAAACAACAATATGGCACCTCCAGAGAGTTTGAGCAGCACTCTAATGTTTGGAGAAATTATGGAGGAATTTGAGGTGAAAGATGACTCAAGGAAGGAGGAAGTTATCTCCAACTTGGGGGTGAATAGTTATGGGGGAATAATTGGAAAACAAGAGAGGAAATAAGAGAAGGGAGAGGGCGGCTAGCATTGAATGAGGGGGATTTGATTTAGGAAATTTAGGAACTTGCCGAATGCAAATTATAAAATCATTTGACTTTGGGTCCTTGCTTGAGTGATGCGGCATATTTTTGGGAGCCCCGATATTTTTGAAGAGATAATAGAATGAGAAATCATTCATTTTTTTTTTTCAAGTGCTCATTCTTTGACTCTACAGAATCATTCATAAAATCATTTGACTTTGCATGGTTAATGCCGTAATTGGGGCCTTCTACTGTTAGTAGGTCAACAAGTTCCTTATAGAAGCTTGCATAAACTTGCGGTTGCCAGAAGTCTTCGATATCTATGTAAGGATAATAAGATGAAACATCTTTTCAACTGATCATACTTTAACTCTACAGAATCATTCAATTCTGCATATTTTATGACACAATCGAGGTATTTCTTTGATGATGTATCAGCGGGTTTTCTTCATACATCAAGTTACCTCTATGCCCTACCTTCACTATCGCAGTGTTTTGGAATTATCAATTGAAGGATTTAATTGTAATTGATCAACAAAACTACTAGCTCTGATAGAGTGAACACACTTTAATTCTTATAGGGGATCTTCCATACTTGCAGCACCTCAATCATCATTGCTAGAGGTATTGTATGTGTTTATGTCCACAGGAGATTCTCTGTACTTGCAACATCTCAATCATCGCTGCTTATAGGGATTGTATGTATTTGTCCACAGGGGATCTGTCGTACTCACTATGTACCAACTGTTATTATCCACAAATATGTTATCAACCGTCATTGCTTGTAGACAAATCAACGCACTTGATCATCTGCTCATTGTTGTTGACTACAAAAGCAGCCTGACGTTTGCTACATGTTGCATGTCATTATCCGTAGATAGGTCACTGTAACTTGATGAGCTTTCTAAAACTGTTTGCAGGTGTGTACATTCATAGCAGACTATTGGCACCAGTTTGCATATGAATCATCACTTCATAGGTTCCATGCTTGCATATTTATTACAATCATGCTAAATATACTTGCAGGAGAGCCACTGTACTTGCATCATATCGACCTTCATCATTCACGGGTGGTACTTGCATACTTGTTGGCAGTGGCAAGTTGAATGCAAACTGTTGGCATTGACTGCGAGGTATTGTCATATTCAGTGCCTGTCATCTTTCTGTGAGCTGTTGTATATGTTACAGGTCTTCTATTGTAGCTTGCAGGTGTCACCGCTTCAACCTGCAAGCTAATTATTGCTTGCATCGAGGTCTTCATCGATGCAAGTAGGAGACACCAATATATTCCACAGTCGGTTGTTGTCACTTGCAAGTACAGTGCATTTAATTGAGTAGGAACTGTTGTAGGAGTTTATTGCATCTATTGGCATCAATTGTTGTGTACCATATATTCAAGTGTGAATGATAGATCTTTGTTTTTTCTTCCACGTACATGATAGGCCTCTTGTTATTGCTCGCAGGCATCACTATTTCAAGTTGCAAGTTGACTGTTGCTTATATAGCAAATTCTTCATTGTTGCAAGTAAGTGTAAACTCTTTGGAACAGATTGGCGTTATTTGGACTTGATTGAATATCATCATTTATATGCATAAAAAGGAATTGTTGCATTCATATATTGGTTATCAGGTCATTGCATTCATCAACATCATTCATTGTGTATCTTGTCTTACATATTCACAGGTTCTGATGATTGACATTCATTTGTAATTATTGTAAACTGATCATCATTCACTGTTTATATGCATCGAGGCCCTGTTCGTCACGAGTCCCTTGCTTATGGTTTGATATTTATTTGAATAATCAAAATTATTATGTCATTTGTATCTTGATTATTATTGTGCATATTAGAATTTAGGTTTCTGTTCTCTGCATTCAATTCAAATCCCCTGGAACTAGGCCTTCCTAACACGCTAAGAACAACGTATATGATAGGTATCCGTAGACACCGCGGCCATCGTCTTCAATCCCGCCATGCTAAGAAAATCGTGTATGGGCATTCAGAGGTACCTATTTAAAAATGCACAATTGTTTCCTCGCTAACACTATGGCGCGTATGTGTATTAAAGTTATCCCCATCACACTAAGAAAAACGCGTATAGGTGGTTGACCAGCGCGTCACGCACACCGATGACAGGATTTCAAGTTCACAATATTATACATTGGCAGTCGACGAGGTGACGGTATCGACGATGTCGAGTACATAACGGTCTAGGCATATGTACATGTCGAATTTATAATTAATTACAAATTAATTATAATTAATTATATTCAACTTATAATTAAGTACTTTAAATTCATAAATAATTATAAATTGTACTTTTTTCCTTAAAAAAAGCTCTTAAACCGCTCCGTCCGAAGCCCGCGCCCGCGCCCATCCCGCCTGGTTCCGTCGCGTGAACACTCGGACCGGTCCAGGGTTGACCGGTCCAGCCGGTTCAAGTGCCGGCTTAACATTTAACTCTTTGTTTCAAGGGATTTGGCAGAAGAAGCACGCGGAAGGGAGGGAGACAGGTACCTTCGATCGAGCAAGCTCCTGATCGTTGTTGCTTCCGATCCAATAGGAGGGGACGTTGAAGGAGGTGAGATGTCGGCTAGGGCTTCAGCTAGGTTGAAGAAATCGATGCTTGCATGGGTTGGCAGGCACGGCTAGAGAAAAGGAGGTTGCGGCTGTTGGAGGTTTGACCGTGAGGTTGGAACTAGGGTTGTGGGTTGAGGGAAGGGAAGGAGTTGTTGAAGGAGGAGAGGAAGCTTGTGATCGAGTGCGGGAAGGAAGAAGAATGCTAGGGTTCATTTGTCGTTTTAACGACGCAAGCAAGAGATCGTGGGTGTATGACGGACAATCAAAGCGAGAACAACATCGACGTGCGTAGGGCATCTGAATCGTGAGATCAGCATGATTTGGGCGACATCCAAACAGGCATGCACGATTTCCTCTTTTTTTTTCTTTTGGTTATCATTTACGGGTCAAGAGTAAATCAAACCATAATTGAAGATTTATTCATTATTTCAATTAACAAATAGCAAATTATTACAATGAAGTGCTTTCTTTGGTTTAAGGAATGGGCAGGGGGGATTATGAGTAACTCTTAAAGATATAAAATCATAGGTGCTGCTAAAATTACTCAAAAGAAACCAGCAAGAAAAGGTGGAATGCAGTGAAACAACCAAATCGTACCAGGCAAACAAAGAATATCAAGTAGAAGTGCAATACTTTCATATTAGAAGATGAAAGTTCGATTTACACCACAAAGCTTCACTTAAATCTACCACTAAGAACAAAACAAATTCCAAATAGCTATAAGAAACCCTCACCCTTATAACACTTATTTCAGAGACACAACTGCTTAGGGCTTCTTCATCTGTTTCAAGTTTTGTTGCTATGCTATTTATCTGCATGAAAAATCAAAATTGTTTAAGCAAAACAGCCCTTGAAAAATCAAAATTGTTTAAGCAAAACAGCCCTCAACGTATGTAGAGTAAACATTCAATTTACCTTTTGTTGACGACTTTCATACTCCTGAAGAATGTTTTGGTTAAGGAATAAGATAGAATTTGCTTCAGAAATTCCATCTTGAATCGCAGCTTCCAGTTCCTCTACCGTAGCAGGCATCTAACAAAAACATGCATGACATGACACATAGTTTAGATCTAGTTCAAATAGTGTGATCATTTGTACGAATGTAAGGTTCCATCTTACCAAAAGAAATGCAGAATAAAAAATCATCACAATGAGATAAAAAAAAGTGGAAAACTTGCAATCATATAAGAAAAGAAAACTTCAATATGCAATATACAGTTAACTTCCATTTACACAAGCTGTTGGTAATATCTGTTTAGTGGATAGATGCAAACCACAGAATCATAACTCACATCCACAGTTGCCTTGTACTTCTTCAAACTTCTCAAATTAGTTTAATAGAGTATTACACACGGGAAAAAACCTTTGCCAAACTTTTCTTCCATAAAGATTTCACAATTCAATTCCTTCATCATTTTGCTAAAAGGAAAATTAACAAAAAAAAAAAAAAATCAATAAGGCAGTCATCCTAGTTCGTAAGAATTCCACAGCTTGTACTCCATCCCATCAGTTACGCAAAAGTCTCGTCTCGTCCATAAAAATCTATACAAAAAAAGACCTAAATATAAATCCTATGGCACTCAACGCCACTCCTGTCTCGGTCTCACAAGCCCGTCTCCATAACCCTTATGAACTCCTCTCTTCTCCATGCCTAGAAGATCACTCGACCAAGTCTCACAAACGCATGTGACCCCTGTCTCCCACATCTCAGTCTCACATCCAAGCACAGTCCTAGCTCCCTCAAGTGTTAACCCCACTTTCTTGCACAACCTGCCAACTAACATGAGAAGCATGATTCAGAGTGCACTTTTAACAAGCATGATAGGAAATATATATAACATCAACAACAACAACAACATCAAGCCTTTATCCCACTACATGGGGTCAGCTACACGAATCATTTTTCTTCATTGTGTCCTATTAAGAGTCAAATTCTAATTTAAATCTAATAAAGAATGGTCATTTCTAATATTTTCTAACCAAATCTTTTAAGTTCTACCTCTAACTTTCTTAATATAGGTCAAATCTAATACATCTATTTTTCTAATCGAGTCATCAGAATGCCACCATTTTATGTGACCAAATCATCTATGGAGACTTTCTCTAATCTTATCTTCCTCTGGAGCTACCTCCAACATTTTCACGTATATGCTCATTTCGTATCCTATTTCTAAGAGTAAAGCCACTCATCCACCTAAGCATGCTCATCTTTGCAACACTTAACTTGATATTATGTTTCTCTTTTAATCAAGGTTTAAAATTGCGTAAATAAGCCTCGAGAAATTTTTTGTCCGTGAGGCGAGGCGTAAGCCTCGAGGCGGTGTGAGGCGTAAGCCTCACGGACGCAGAATTGCGTAAATAAGAATTTAAGGGTTTTAGCAGGTAAATAATAGCAAGATTTTATCATACAATAAAAATATCTAAATGACATGTGAAATTAGTGAAAAGTAAAGAAAATAGATGCAATAAAATCATGTCCCAAAGTACAAAACCACAAAATATTAGTCTATCAAAACTCCCAAAGTACAAAGTACATATAAAATCCAATCATGTCCCATCACTAAATATGTCTTCAAGATAATCTTCTTATCCAATTATATCTATGAATGTCATATCTTCATCATCTTCAATGTGACTCACTTTTCTCTGCCATGTTCAATAAGAATGATCATTATGAGTGTTGAAAGCCGATTTCTTCTCTTTGTTTGCACTTGACTATATGTACTTCAGTTTCGCTCACACATAGAAGAAGAACAAGTGAGGCCCAAAACTCTAACAACAAAACTCTGTAACTCAGGGGTGGAATCACCGAATTGGATCCACCATTCAACTATTTTCAAGAAGAAAAATGATAATCAAAATATATTAAAGTGTTATACATTTACAAAAATAAGTATACCTGGAGACTGTTTGACAATAGTTGATTTTGCTGCTTGTAGATCAAAAAATCCCTCCTTATTCTGAAATAAAACAAGTTGTAAATATGAAAGCTCCCTAACGGTCTGGTCCGGTATTAGTCATTCCATGCAGTGATACAAGCCAAGCTTCACCTTCGGGTTTGAGGATTTCCTCTCTGAATATTGAAATTGAGGATTGAGATAATATGCCGCTGCATGTAGATGACGACGTAAGTGGACCTCCCACCAAGCATCAATGATATCTCAAATCTCTCTATAACTTGCCTCATCTCCTCCTAAGTAATGTGCAATCAACTCCTTCGCCTCATCCATAGCATTATAAATAAAACCCATAGCTGGTTTCTTCTTGGCATCCACTAAACGTAGAACTTGTACCAAGGATCTCGTGCTCAATATGGCATAGGTCACAGTAGCCAAAATTTATAGTGGAGGAAGAGCCCTTTCCTCATTCATGTTATCCGGAACATTCGCACAAGGTGCTACATTTTTATGTGAGCCAGATAAGTGTTCCTTCATGCGAGTTACTCCTCCCTCCACCACCTTATCACAAAATTGCTTAGGCAATGAGGTGATTTCGCCCAGAATTGCGCAGAGGCGCGCCTCTGATTGCCAATTTTAAACTATGCTTTTAATTAACCAAATTTGAAACTTATTGATTAATTGATCCCTAACTGTTGTTATAGCCTCGAGTTACTTATATTCTTTTAGCGCACATTAAATTTTCTGCCCAAACTAATGTTATTAGTCCTTTCTTACACCGATTATAATATGATGGCATACTTCTTGGGCATTGTAGCTCGCAAGATTATCATGCTGACAATTTTACAGGAAAGGGGAAGGACAAGGTTGAGCCTGATTAGTTCCAAGTTCACTTGTGTTTGAAGTTTACTTTTTCCTTTATAAGAAAGGCTTGGATAGAGGTCAGTGGCCATTAATAGAAAATGCTGTCTTTATCTGTAGCTGTTCTGTACATAGAAAATTTTTGGAAATAAAAATTTGGATCGCTTCCACCTTTACTTGATGTTTCAGAGTATGATGTCTTTTATAATACTTCACTTTGATGATCAGGAACTGTTTCGAAGTGTAATGGAAGAGTAAAAGTTTTCCTGTAGCCTCTATTGCAGCCTATATCGCCGGGTTGGAGTAGGATCAACTTGGGGTGGTGTGGGTGTCATAATTTAAAACCTAAGCACATATGGCATTGATATCATCATCAGCAATAAATGCAAATGCATGAAGAAAATCTGCAATGGAGGCATCAATCAAAGAAGTCACCAAAGCATGAGATAACAAAGGAGAAGCACCAACCAATCGGCTTTGATATAATAACCCAAGAGGCAAGAAGAAACAACCAACAAGAAGGGGCTTGCTGAACACAAACAGAAATCATTGAGAGTGCACATGACAACAGTTACGAGAAGGGATAAAGGATGCAAGGAAGATATCCGTCCAGGGAAAGATCAAGAGAAGCCAAAAAAACTTGAATGAGGAGATGGACCAGACAAATGCTTCATCCAACACGATGGCGTACTTATATTACATAAGTATGCTTGATAAAACAAGCTTTTGTTTCCTTATAACGCTAATCCTCATCATCATTACAACCATCTTATATTGTCTAAACAATATTCGTTGATCATTTATACTATGGATACATGATCTACCAATAGCACCTCAACTAAACAACATGAGAAGAAAAACCAAACAACATAGTCTAACTTACAGGTAAACTAGCATCCCTCAGCAAAACAATAATAATTTCAAATGAATATTCATGCAAGGTCGAACTCAGTTCTTTTAGGGTTGGAGGAACGAGGGGGGCATTTTCTTAGGAGTTACTGAAAACTTACATCATTAAATTCCTTTGCAAGATCAGGAGTGATGATGGCTATTGATTCTGCAAGGTGCTTTGCATCAAGAAGATCCTTTCTACAACGTTCAGTTCCTTCCTTACCTAACCAAAAATAATAGAAACCAGCGTGATTGTCAAATAACTAATCTTTTTTGTAGCGGGCAAAGTATATAAAGCAACTCTTCAAATGGGAATTATTAAGCAGGTATCTACTTTATGTATATATCAAAGATTTTTTTAGCAATAACTCATTTTAATTCAGATATGAAAAAACCACACAGCCATGAAGATATCTATATATATATATATATATATATATATATATGGACTTGATGATTATAAAGGTTGCTGGCCCTATGAAAATACTAGAAAGTGAAATGATTATTAATAAATAAGATGAAATTGACATGCACAAAAGTATGGGCTAAACTCCAAAGTGCCAATTTCTTGAAAGAACTTAGAGTAACTTCACACATAAAGAAAATTCACAGGCCTTTGTTTATTTCAACTTATAAACAAGAGTGAAACAAAGATGTTTAAAACACATCGAAAGAATTAAAACTTATAATTCAATAGCAATATAAGAGTTTAGATATCTTTCAGCTATGTCTTCGAACCTTTGCAAGTTGCAAGAATAGACAACCATCCTTTTCACATTGTGTATACTTACAAGTTTTCGTAGTGAATGAGCACTTGAATGCAAAACTTCTCGATGCTTCTTGACATCATACTTCCATTTCCCTGTATTATGGACATGATAATAAAAACGGAATTCAATTGAAACTAATTTAAAAAAAAATAAAACAATTTAATCATTATTGTACAAAAACAAAAATTTACATGCACTAAATAATTAAGAGAAAATTCTAGCGATCCTAAGCCCAAAGGATGACATATAATATAATGGTTTAAGACAAATGAATGATGACATAAACAACATAAACAATGAAAGACTCTCACAGGCTCCTTTCTTATAGTTTATAGTGATTATGAAGAAATATCTGGCGTACACAGAAAAAACTTAGCCCTAGAAGTTTACACATCGCATCCAAACAACATATCATTTTTAGAAACTAAAAAAGACCAAAACACTACATAACATCTAACTATAGATATTGATGGGGAAATCAGAGCATGAATCAAGGCGTGGCCATCGATCTACGGCAGACGATCGTGTCGTTGTTTTTTTTATTTAGATCATTTTCATAGTATTTGTCGTTTATTAATGTATTTGTCTTTATTATTTATGTTTTAATATTCCCCCGTTTTACCCTTTATTTTAACGGAGGTCGTATGTAAGGCTAAGGGCATTGTCGTCCTTCTTAATTTTGCAGTCCATTTTTGTAAGAGGCTTATGCCCCGAATGTGCTCTTCCATGGATTAATAATGATTAAGAAAAATTTTCTACGCTTGTGCTTGAGAGCTCTTGAGGAGAACTTGGAGAGATCCCTAGGAGAGGGAGAACGTATCACTTACCAACCTTGGAGACGGCCGGGTTCGTGGTTTTCACTTTGTCTTTCATCGTCTCTCGTCACTTTCCCTTAGTCGCCTTCGTTGTCTCCACCCACCACTTGACCCCTTTCCCCCTTCACATCATCCACGGTTTCCCCACCTAAACCGCCGGCCTCATTGCTTCCCTTTGGGATTTTTCCCCCCAAACGCCACCACCTCTTAATTCCTTTCCATAGATAATTCTTCTTACTTTGGGAAGATTTAATTTCAAATTTGAAAACAAAAATTAAATTTGAAATTTCTTTCCTAATTTAAGAAACTTATTTTAGGAAAGTTTCCAAATTTAAATCCTATTTGAATTTCAAATTCAAGAGGAGTGAATTAATATCTTTCCTATTTCTTTTGGTTAAATTAAGAAACTCTTAAACCCTCTTCATTAATGCTCCCTTAACCATCTATGCCGCCGGCCCCCTTAGTGGTTGGATTAGGAATTCTTTCCTTAAACCCAACTCATCTCTTTGGAAATATTTTCCTTCTCTTGCCAGTCGAAATTTTCAAAGCCTAAAGCCTTTAATTACTTTCCAAAACTGAGAGTGAAATTAGGAAATAACTCCCTAATTCCCCTCTACATCCCGTCGGCTCCCCTTACTGAATTTTTCTTTTCCTAAAGTCTACCCAGATTCCATTGTTTCTCTTTGGGGAAAAGTTTGGGAATTCAACCTGCTGCTGGCCGAATTTTCCAAAGCCTCTCTCATTAATTCTCTTCCACTAAATCCTCTCGAAACTCCACCCAACATTGAGTCCTCTTCTTCCTAAAACTGCAGCCAGAAATTTCAGTCGTTGCCCATGCAAGCCCAACCATTGCAAGCCTCACAACTGATGTTTGGAAGATCAAAACTGCTGTCCATCAGTTTCCACTGAATTCTTTTTCGCTGTAGGAACATCGGAGAAGTCTCTCCTTGTCATCCAACCCTTCCCAAAGTCAAAACAGCGACTTCTCGCATGGATGGCCGACCTGGACACAGAATAAGACCTCTCCTACGACAAACTTCTTCAACATAACGACTACTTGTTTCCAGACTTTGACTAAGGTGAACTTCTCCCCCTCTTCAATTAACTTTCTAATCCCCTAATCTTGTAGGTGATGACGAATCCCAAGGAGCCGAGTTTCACCTTTTGCCTAAGCTTAGTAAACGTAGGGTTTTATCTTGCCTTTGCCAAAGCCTAGTAAACGTAGGATTGAGTGCACTTTTATTTGCTTCTAATCTTATTGTTAGATTAGAGATTTCTATTGAAAGCTATTTTATTTGCATGACTTGATTTTCTATGTTGATTCGATAATCCAAGTGCTTAGGGTGCAACTTAGCCTAAGCGGAAGTGACCGCTCTTATGTTTTATTTGATCGTTTGGATTTGCTAGTAGTTCTAATCTTAATTGCTTTTATCAAGAAATTAAGCAAATTCTTATTTCATTCATTCAAAGCATTTAGTCCTACATCATATACGGAGCCAAATATAGATATGTTACTAACAATAAATGTTCAGGACTTGAGCTAGGATAAAAACTGAACACTAAAACATTAAAAAAAAAAGGTCATCAAATTGAAGGAAAAAATAACAGCAGAAGCAGCTTAAAAGTTATTTCATGAGCTTGATCATCATAACCAATAATAATTGAGGACAGTCTTCTAGCGGAGACAATGGCTAGCTGATGCTACAGTATACAAGATATATGAGAAATGTAAAACCAATCATGCTAAGCTATATGAATATTTTAATAAAATAACTGAAACACCACAAAAAATATTCCAAAATATAGTGTTAAAAGTGGAATATATTATAGGATTAAGAATAAGAACGAACCTTAGCATCAAGTTCAATGTAAGTCATTTGTTTCTCCGCCAAGCTCCGTCTTAAAGCAATGGCTTCAACAAGAAAATCCTGGATCAAAACAGTAAAATTATGATAGCAAATACAGATGAGAAACAAAATCAAAATCCATATTTCAAGCAAAAAATCTCTAAGTTCAGCAATCCCGTCCAACAATCAAAATGTCAGCCAGTGTCTGGACAAACTTGACCTTGATCTCATTAGCCAGTCCAAACCTCTTTTCGTCAAGTTGAAAAGCCTGATCAACAAGCTTCCTAACATTAGACTCTACATCTTCCTCTTTACTTAGAGATTCCAATTTCCTTCTCTTTTGATCTGCGAATTAAACAAGAACATCAAAGTGTATAAATAAAGAAGAGTACAATGAAAAACTCTAACTGAACATGGCTGACATACCCACGCAATTTTCCATTTCACGGAATTTCTTTTTCTCAAGATTTACATTATGAATAATCTCCTCCTGTAAGGAATTATAGATGTATTGTCACCATAATTGGTGCTTTTTCTTTCATAAGTGTAGAATGCTCAAAGATAGAAAAAGATTGCATCAATTTTAAAAAGAGCAAACCCGTTGACGATGTAATTTAGCAGCTTCATCCTCCAGCTGTCTCTGCTCAGCTTGAAGAACTTTAAGGCTTTCCTCAATACTAATAATGTCAGATTCAATTTCGAATTTTTGGGACTTTAGACTTTCCATGTCACCGGTATCCACACCTGCAGATAGGCAGATCAAAAGAGGTAAGAAAATGGTGACAGGAAAAAAATGTCTATATGCTTCAAATAAAATATACTTTCCAATTAATCGAAATATGCTGCAAGTAAAATATACTTTGCATAAAAAGGCGAGCAGAGCGGACTGGCTCCACAATAGCTGAAACATGGCCACCATATCTGGAAACAGACCATCGATAATGACTTTCTGGGGTCCAGAGATCAGATATTTTTAACCTTGATACTTCATCAGCTCTCTTATCAGTTTCATGGTCACCAATGTACTGAAGGAATTCAAAAAATTGGTCAAACAAATAACAGATCACAACATCTGATCTAATATTGGATAATTGGCACAGTGGCAGCATACTCATTAAGAAATGAAAATTGTCAAATTTAACATACCGAATGGTCTAATGCAGCTTGGCTGATCAAGACATCCTTTACAGCATGAGGAGAGCTAAAAACTTGATCAAGACGGGAACAAATGCCAAGCTCTCTCATCTAGGAAAGAAAGCTATATCACCAATTACAGAATATAAAGCCACAAGGGCCACCGTGCTTTCAAAAAATAGCAGGTATTTAAGTCATGATTACCTCCCGGGTTATTTGAAACTGTGATCTGTTAGCATCTCTTCCACCAACATAATTTAAAATGGGGACATCGTACTGTTTCAGGTTATGAACCAAGAAATCTCTATCAGAGGAATCCTGCGTAACAAAAGACTACAATAGAAACATAACCACATATTAGCCTCGCATAAAGAGTGAAGCAACAAAAACACCAAGCCACAAACACATAGAACGAATAATTAACACTGCTAACAAACAAACAAAAAATGTAATTAGAATAAGTGAATAAGATATGCAGGAACAAGCATTGTTCCTTTATTGGGTTCCACAACTTCCACCATAGTAGGAAATTTTGAATTCATGCAAGAAAGATCAGAAAAGGCTGAAAGATGTTATCAAGTACTCAAAGTAGAAAGAAGACTAAACAAATAACTTTTGTAGAAGTAAACCAATAACTTTTGTCCTAGGTTAAGAAAAATAGAAGTAAACCTAAAAAGACATGGTTAAAAAGTATTAGTAATGATTTTTTTATTAGATTTAAATGAGAAATTGACAATTATTAGGACACAAAGGAGAAAAATGATTCAAGTAGCTGACCCCACGTAGTGTATAAAGGATTGATGTTATTGTTGTCTTTGTGTGCCTATATATATATAGACACACAATAACAACAACATTTTAACGACCAAATTAGACCAACCAAATAAAATCAATTCAGTTTGATTTTTTAATTTTATCCAAATAATGTACACCCCTACGTGGAAGGCTCTGGTTACATCAGAATAAAATTTATTACCTTATTTATATGGAGATGCCAAAATATATATGCTCATAATAAAAGATTGGAAGGTATGCTCTAATTTTAACTCCGAGATGAGAATGAATACGAGTAAACACTGAACTAATAAAGGATTGGAAGGTGTCACCAGCAGTATTAAAGTTGAAGTTAATTAATCTGAATTTGAGAATTTAATTAGATTGCTAATCATGATTACAAGATTTAACCATGATTATAAATTTATTTAAATCTTTATTAATGTTAAATAAACATTGTTATTAATATCATTATCATGAGTGCATGAACAGTTGTTTAAGGAGATATATGGCATAGGGTGACATGCAATTTAAAGAGATGATGGCTTAGTGTTTTGAAAATAGATATGTGGGGAGAGAGTTTGGAGATGAGCTTATCACAGTTCGGGATAACGAAAATTTTAGGAGTTTGATAGGAAATACTTGATTCCAAGTATTTCCTAATCACTTTAGCCAAAGATCTCACAGCAAACTGCTGTCCACAGCAGGAAATCAGCCAAAACAGTGGGAAAACACGAGAAAAACGATAGAAACACGAAGTAAGAACTTGTATTTTACTAGAAGAAGAATAAAATAGCAAGATACAATTGATCCTCAATTTGAGAGGAGGATCGTTCTCTCCCAAATCTCTGGCAACGCCAAGAGCCCAAAGAAAACCTAAATCTACGAGATCTCAAATTTCAGCCAAATTCAAGATGCCCAAACCCTAGCAAAAATCAACTATTTAATGCATACAAATCAAAAGGAATTCCCTAAACAATCCCTACATTCAAATTTCTCTCTTAAACCCCAAAAAAATCCTTCCTAAAACGCTCCCGTGGAGCTTGCGTCTCGCACGGTTTCCGCCCAGGCGGAAGTTTTCTCCGCTCATCTTGCGATTTTACCCGTGAACCGGTCCCACCTGGACCGGCTAGACCGGTCCAGTAGACCGGTCTAACAGAGTTTTCTAGGAAGAACAAAAGGCTAGGAAATATTTAAAGGTTTTGGAAGGGATTCGACAATGGTTTTCTTTTTTTTTTATGCAAAAAAACCTTTGCCCAAACCTAAGAAGCAATGATTTTTTTTTCTATTGCATGAGTTATTGATTTGAATACTCTTTTATAATATGGAAATGTTCAATAAAATGATGGTTATACGATAATAACTACACTTCTTAAGGCAATTGAGTGCTCCACAAATTCCTTAAGTGGGGCACAACAGCACAAGATCACATGCACTTTCCACTGCTCATTAAGGTTAGCCAATAATTAATCTTTTCAAGTATAAATTGTAGTAATTGTAATACCCCAAAATTTACAGGTAATAAAAATTTAATAGTCAATTCTTATAAAATTAATCTTTTTAGCTATAATAAACTTTTAATTAAATTATTAATTATTTAACAGTCAATAACGGTTAACTGAATTTAGCATAGTGCAGAAATCACTGTGGATATGTTCGGTACAGTGACTAGAAGAATTGTGAAAACAGGGAACAAATGGCATATTTCGGTGAGAGCATAGTGCAGAAATCACTGTGGATATGTTCGGTACAGTGACTAGAAGAATTGTGAGAATTCGCTGAAGATCCTGTAACAGAATTTGGAGAATTTGGCTATGCTGGGAGAAGAGATTGAAAAAGTATTTAGAAATGAATTCATTAGTGCAGAAATTTCAGGTAAAGATAGTAAGAATTAAGGGAAAGTATTTGGTTTCTGTTATCAGATTTCTAAATGTAATTAATATAGGATTTTGTGATGGTTTAAAGTGATTGCAAGTGTACAAACCAAGTAAAGTGAAGGAAGGTTCCGAGGAAGATTTGGAATTACCTGAATATACATGCAAAGAGAAGATTTCATAGTGACTTACAATCGTAGAAGGGTGCGAAATAGAGAATTGGAAGAGACGATTCGTCAAGGAGGTATGTTATGTAAAGTTAATTACTGATTTTTATATTTATTATGTCTTTTCAATGGTTTGAGTGATTCAATGCATTATGAATACTTGCATAGCAACCATAATAGATTTCATTGAAGTGTTCATGTATAAACAAATGTACTTTATGTGGAAAGTGAAATGATATTTGATCAAATATGTTATTTCAATCGCTCTGATGATATGTTAAAGAAAGAAGTTTGCAATTGTTAGATAATGCATGTCAAACTTTTCTTACAACACTTGTAAGGCTATATAAATGATAACAGAGATGAATTATGAAATTGAGAGTTATTGAATATTTATTTAATAAAGATTGGCTGTTATGCTATGATATCTACATGGTCAGGTGGGCAAAAGGGACCCGATATGAAACCTGAATTGTAGATGGGGCAAAAAGGACACCAAGGAAATGGATACCTGCATAGCAGGTGGGGCAAAAGGGACACCTAAAGAGGCAAAAGGGACCTCTATGAAATTCAATGGTGATAATGCCAGATTTACCTGGACTCTATTGAATATGTTAAAGTATAGCCAATTCTTTTAAAAAATTAAATATTCAGTATCTATCTCGAATGACATAAAAGATGAAGTTCAATATGATGTTTTCGATGCTTTACAAATAATGATAAGTTGATGCAATGATTAGCTCAATATTGTATTTCATTTTATCAATTCATTTTTTATTGTTATTTAATTTTGCATAGCTTATTTGAGCCTCATATCTCACAAGTATTTTATTACTCGTTGTTGTTACAGGTAAAGGAAAACAAAAAGTGGGAGAAGATTAGTTTGCAAGTAATTACATTAATGTTAATGTTTAATGTATGTTTGAAGTCGACTATTGAGGTTAGTAAGTAGTTTAAATGTAACATTACTTTGAAATTGTTTGGATTTCCTTGGTAGCTCTGTATTAAGTCAGTGATGAAACTTGGGAATTATTAGATGCTTCATTTGTTGTATTAAATGATGTATGATCTTTTATATAAATCTGAAATGAAATGAACTGAATAAGATGTTTAGTGATGGAAATGTTATGGTTATTCTTGTTACACTCTACAGTACTGTTAAAGAGTACTGTGGGATGCTACAAAAGTGGTATCAGAGCAAATGTTCAAGGTTATGAGGATTCAATTAAGGAAGCATAAGCAAAGTCAATTATTTAAGAGGATAAGATTGGATGTGATGGAATTATTATAGAGCCTAAGAGAGTGTAGTAACTCTATGTCATAAAAAGTCTAATTTCATTTTATTTTTAAGTAATCATATTTAATTTTCACTCTGACTAACATGCCAGTGTATGAAAGTAACGTCTAGATAGGAATACATGATTATATAAATGCATAACTATTAATGTGATGCATTGCAAATTTAATGGCTGAAAGAGAGGAGGGTCAGTCATCTCAGTCTATTAGAATCTCTGAATATCCTGAAAATGTGGCACCAATAGGAGGTAGTGCACCTACTGTAAATCCTGTACCGGTAGGAATGGATGCTATGAATGCAATGTCAGGGAATATGATACAACTGCAGATGATGAATATGATGATGCAAATGATGGAAAAGATGCAGTCTATGGTGGAATCTGCAACACCTAGTGTTCCACCTATAGTTACACCAGTTACTCCTACCACTCCTGATAGTAGTACAAATGTGGAGGCAGGTGATCCTATTAGTGCAGAAGTGGATAAGCATTTAAAGCTCTTCAAAGCCTAAAACCTCCTTTGTTTAAAGGAGGAGTTGATGCCAGAAGTGATGAGGACTGGATAATCAAAATAGAGAAAGTTTTAAATGGAATGAGATGTCCTGAGAATAGAAGAGTAGCCTTAGCAATCTTTAGAAAGATGGAGGGGACAACAACCGGAGAAATTCAGAGGTAAATCTGAAGAACAAATTATGTGGGAAGAATTTATACAAGTTTTCAGAGAATAGTATGTTCCTCCATCAGCAAGGCAGGCAATGCAAGAAAGTTTTGTAAACCTGAAGCAAGGATCTAAGACTGTCATTCCATATGAAGCAAAATTTACAGCACTTTCAAGGTATGCTCCACAACTCATCAGTACTCCAGATGAAAAATGCTACAGATTTTTGAAGGGTCTGAGGGATTCTTTAAGACAACCTTTAATCCCTCTTCGCATAAAGGAATTTTCTGAACTGGTTGAAAGTGCAAGTTTATTGGAGAATGACATAGAAGTGGTTAAGCAAAAATGGGAGAATAATGATAGAAAGAGACAAGGTGATCACAAGGGAGGACCCACAAAAAGACAGAAATTTCAACAATGTCAACATCAGCAATCACTGAGATTACTTGCAATACCAGTTTGTATAACCTGTGGAAAATCTCACCCAGGAAGATGCATGATAAATTCAGGAAAGTGTTATTTGTGTGGAGAATCAGGTCATATCAAGAGGAATTGTCCAAAGAAT